GCATCATCATCATCATCATCATCATCATCATCATCATCATCATCATCATCATCATCATCATCATCATCATCATCATCATAATAATAATAACGATAATACATGTGCATGGAATAATGATAATGATAAGGATAATATTAGTATGATGATGACATTGGTCAAGTTTAGTACATGGGTGGTTTACGGATGCTCTGTTGTGGTTAATTGCTCCTTCTTTCCTATCAAACATCTATCGTCCTTATCTCCCCTCCTCCTTTGTGTGCGTATATTGCTCTCTTGTAACACCTCTAATATTCGCCACTCATTATTATGACTGGCTCGCGTTGCTTAAGTGTTGTAAACTTGTAGATAACTTTTAAAAAGTTATTTTTCAATCAAACAATACAGAAATCTTCGACACTTCTTCTATGACCTAATTGTGTTGAAGCGCCGTAAAAGTCTTACTAAAACGAAACTAGTAAGTAACAAATGATCCCTTTTAAGCGCAAGTGGGATATCCCGAAAAATGCTGTTTTGAGAAAATATCAGGTAAAGTTTTTGAACCCTTGTTAAGTCTCTTTAAAAGGCAAGGAGAGTTTTCTCTATAACTTATCAATAAATATACACGCAAATGAAACCAAACTTCTCCTATAGGTAGGGCCTCTGGCTAGGGCAGTGCCCACTTTTGGTTTAGGTCAAGATTTCTAGAAACCCCCGAAATCTGGGTTAACCCGCTTGTCTTTAAAAACGTCCAATTGTGTTGCAAGTGCCGTAAAACTCTTACTTAAACGAAACTAGTAAGTACCGAATGGGGACCTCACGCTGGATCTTTACGGTACTTATTAACCGTGTCGTCTGCTCCTCAGACCTGCTGCAATGACGAGGACACTAAATCTTTACTCACTCACACGTGCTGCAGGACTGCTGGCTTTGCTCCTGATTTCTCTGCTCGATGTTTGTTCGACGTCTGTGGGTGAGTAAAATGCACGATTTCATGTTCTTTTTCTTTTTGTTTAGTTTCCCTGTCTTGGGTTTTTCTTCTTTTTTTCCCCCCCTGAACTCCTTTTTTTTAAAATGTATCTTTTCTGGCCATTCTTTCTTTCTTTCTTTCTTTCTTTCTTTCTTTCTTTCTTTCTTTCTGTCTGTCTGTCTGTCTTTCTTTCTTTCTTTCTGTCTTTCTTTCTTTCTTTCTGTCTTTCTTTCTGTCTTTCTTTCTTATGTTTTTATTTTTGGCTCGAAAAGTTATCTGCTCGACGGCTGCAGGTGAGTTCACTGTTCAATTCCATATTTTGTTTGTTTGTTGTTGGGTTTTTTGTGTGTGTGTATTGTTGTTGTTGTTGTTTGTTTTTTTTTACTTCATTTTATTTTAACTTTGTTGTTTGTATGATTTTCTGTTTTTATACAGTTTACTCCTACTTTTTCTAGTTTCTTTTTGCTCGTGGTTTCTCTGCACATGTTTGTACGACGGCTGTGGGTGAGTTCACTGCTCAATTACATTTTTGGTTTTTGTTTGGTTTTTTTGTTTGTTTGTTGGGTTTGTTTATTTTTTGGGTTTGTACCACATTCCTACTTTTTCCAGTTTCTTTTTGCTCCTGCTTTCTCTGCTCATCTTTGGACGACGGCAGTGTGTTTGTGTGTGTGTGTGTGTGTGTGTGGGTGTGTGTGTTTAACACTTTACTTTATTTTGGTTGTTGTTTGCATGCTTTCTTTTTTTTTTCCTCTCTTTGTTCCTATTTTTTCTATTTTCTTTTTGCTCGTGATTTCTCTGCTCAATGTTTGGACGACCTCTCACAGCAGGGTGAGTTAATAAATGCACAGTTCAATTTTCTTGTGGTTTTGTATTCGTGTCTTAAACATTTGCAGATACACGTATTTTTTGCTTTTGCTGCAGTTATTGTTGTTGTTTTGGTGTTGTTGTTGTTGTTGTTGTTGTTGTTGTTGTTGTTGTTGTTGTTGTTGTTGTTGTTGTTGTTGTTGTTGTTGTTGTTGTTGTT